ATGAAGAACGGTTGCAGGAACTGGGTATGTTAGCTTGATAGAAAGAAGGACTAGGGGAGACATGATAGCAGTGTTCCAATATCTCAGGAGTTGTCATAAAGAAGAGCGAGTCAAACTATTCTCCAAGGCACCTGAGGGCAGAACAAGAAGCAATGGGTGGAAACTAATCAAGGAGAGAAGCAACTTAGAACTGAGGAGAAATTCCCTGACAGGTGGAACAATTAATCAGTGGAACAGTTTGCCTCCAGAAGTTGTGGTTGCCCCAACAATGGAAGTCTTTAAGAAGATGTTGGATAGCCATTTACCTGGAATGGTATAGGGTTTCCTGCCTAGGCAGGGAGTTGGACTAGAAGACCTCCAAGGTCCCTTCCAACTCTGCTATTCTATTGTATTATATAAGATCTCTTGTAGCCATAACAAAATTATTTCTCGAAAGCCAAGGTCATCCTTTGCCTTTGCACCTCTGCACCTGGCCGGAACTGGATGGATGAATGGAACCATCCAGCATGGTAGTGCAAGATTGGACCACGTAATGGACTTGTTGATATGGGGCCAAGATCTTCAACTTTCAACTGGGTGGGGAAAACCGGGAAGCCTTTAGATTCAGATTTTCTCAGATGTGCCAACATGGCTCTCTTAATAAATTGGAACGTCGAGGAATCCTGTGCTTTGTACTCTGATTTAATTTTGGATGCTATTTGGAACCTTGGCAATATGCTGACTGTAAACCGCTTAGAGAGGGCTGTAAAGCATTATGAAGTGGTATATAAGTCTAAGTGTTATAGCTATTGCTGTTGTGAATAATCCATTACAGTATAGCTGCTTATCTCAGCAAATGACTGAGATGATACATTTCAGCACAGTATTTTGATTCTGAGAAGGCTGTCTATAAGTAGGGGAATAAATCAGGGTTTACTGCATGGCTTAGCACAGTTTGTAAACCCGGTTGTAGCATAAGACTCTAGTCGCATCTGTTCTTAGATGACTTCAACTAACAGAAGCTATTTTTCTGGCCTTCTTGCTTCTTCGCCCTTTTTATGACAGATGCCATGAATATAGCTAGACTCCAATTTCTTTCCTCCCAGCATAAAACAATGTAGAGGAGAAAAGCTAATTGTTATTTATTTATTTACTTGATCTTTATCCAGCATTTATTACTTTATAAGTAACTCCAGGCATTGAGTATATGTAATACTTCTTCCTCCTCCTATTTTTTTTCCATTACAACAACCTCTTTTAAAGATTTTCTTTTCAATTTTTTTTTAAATCCATGGGTTTGTGCCTGTAAGGGGGAGAGAGAGGGAGAGGGAGGGAGGGAGGGGGAGAGAGAGAGAGCGAGAGAGAGAGAGATATATATATTTCTGGTAGCTTAGTCTTTTGCAACTCTCAAAAAGAAATCAAAGCAAGATCTTGCGACAATTAAGCCCTCAAAAATACTCTTTCTGAACATAATATTTTAAATGCTTGCTGAACTCAATGGGAGTTCCAAAGCACTCTGTTTTGAATTGCTTGTGAAAGAGAAATAATGTCATGTGATTATTTGCTTGCTTGTTTGTTTGTTTACTTCTTTTTCTTTTCTGCAGAAAATTTCCTTGGTGAGCAACTTTGCAGCCTCTCTATTCCTAGGTGCCTATGCTCCCATAGATTATAGCGATGGTAAGTGACACACACTCTTTCTAACAGGTTCAACCCCACACTGACTTGTAGGAGAGAATAGACACAGTGGGATGTCCTCTTTTTTTGGTGAACGGAGGCCACCCAAAAATGGTGAGAATCGTTGAAAGATAAAGTACATCTCTTTATACAGGTAGCCCTCAACTTACGACCACAATTGAGCCCAAAATTTATGTTGCTAAGTGAGTGAGAAATTTGGTAAGTGAGTTTTGCCCCATTTTACAGCTTTTCTTGCCCCATTTGTTAAGTGAATCATTGCGGCTGTTAAATTAGTAACACGGTTGTTAAGTGAATCTAGCTTCCCCACTGACTTTGCTCGTCAAGAGGTCCCAAAAAGTGATCACATGACCCTGCAACTGTCATAAATGTGAGTCAGTTATCAAGCATCCAAAGGCAAATCACATGACCATGGGGATGCTACATCGGTCATAAGTAGCGATGGGTTTCATATTTTGTTACCACCGGTTCACTGCACACCCCCATCCGCTTTCTCTGCGCCCGCCCGCTCTGTGTGCACCCGCCCACTTTGTGGGCACCCACACCCCTTCCATACATTGCCCGGCCTTGTGTACCTGTGCTTTGCTTTCACACGGGCCTTCCACGCATGTGCCCAGCCTCAAAAACATGCCTAAATAGGATGGCATAGGGCTGGGGCAAGTGGGTAGTCCCACCCGCGATTCTCACTACCAGTTTGTGAGAACTGGTCTTAACTGGCTGAATACCACCTCTGGTCATAAGTGTGAAAAATAATCAGAGGTCCCTTTTTTTCAGCGCTGTTGTAACTTTGAATGGCCACTAAGCTAACTTTTGTAAGTAGAGGACTGCTTGTATCCTGCCTAGTTAAGTAAGTCAGCGTGTTTAAATGGATGAATATTAACCTCATTTAACTTTAATTAATATACATGTTGAACAAATCATCCCCCCCCCCCCCATTAAACCCACTTCCTTCTTTGTGGTTTGAGCCCTTGGCTCTGAATCCAGAATGTGTCTTTGCAGACTTCTGGCTAAGCTTTCTTTCTTTCTCTGAAGCTCTGTGGACTGGCTGCCTGCATCTGGCTGGCTTTGCAGAAAGTGTGTCAGGCTGCAAAAACGTTGTGGTTCTTCCAAGAAGATGTATTTATTGTTTTGTTCCTTTTTGGTGTCGTTGCCCTTTTTTCTTGGAAGTGTCTAACACAGCTGGACCCGAAACGGTGTCCAATCCCCCCCTCCCCCGATTCAGTTTCTTTTTTTTACTGTGTAAGATCAGAAGAACGCTAGACCAGCCCTGCTAAATTGCTCCATCTTAATCCAGATTTGTTTTTATAGCACCCAGCAGACGTTTCTGTTCACAACCAGAAGATGGCAGCATTTCACACTTTTGCTACTCTTTCTCTGAAATTAATATTAGAAGCTACCTTCAAACCAGGAATAACAATCAGACTAGTAATAGGTAGCCCTCGACTTAACAACAGTTCGTATAGTGACCGCTCGAAGTTAACAATGGCACTGAAAAAAGGTGACCGTTTTTCACACTTACGGCCGTTGCAGCGTTCCCACGGTCATGTGATCGAAAATTCAGACCCCTGGCAACTGACTCATACTTATGACACTGGGAGTGACCCCGGGTCATGGGATAATTTTTGCAACCTTTTGACAAGCAAAGTCAACGAGGAGGCCAAATTCACATAACCATATTATTAACTTAACAACTGTAGCGATTTGCTTAACAATTTTTGTAGCGTGAAAGGTTGTAAAATGGAGCAAACTTTACTTAATGACTGTCTTGCTTAGCAACAGAAATTTTGGGCCCTATTGTGGTCGAGGGGTACTTGTAGCTCGATCACTCCAGAAATTCCTCCAGACCTCTTCTGAAACCATCCAAGGCAGCGCCCATCAACAAATCTTATGGTAATCACTTCTGAAGGCAAAGAGGACACCCAATTTAGATAGTCCTTGACCATTCATTTATAACAAGAATAAGAGAGTTGCAAGGGGCCTTGGAGGTCTTCTAGTCCAACCTCCTACCTAGGCAGGAAATCCTATATCATTTCAGACAAATGGCTATCCAACATCTTCTTAAAGACTTCCAGTGTTGGGGCATTCACAACTTCTGGAGGCCAGCTGTTCCACTGATTAATTGTTCTAACTGTTAGGAAATTTCTCCTCAGTTCTAAGTTGCCTCTCTCCTTGATTAGTTTCCACCCATTGCTTCTTGTTCTGCCCTCAGGTGCTTTGGAGAATTGTTTGACTCCCTCTTCTTTGTGGCAGCCCCTGAGATATTGGAACACTGCTATCATGTCTCCCTTAGTCCTTTTCATTAAACCAGACATACCCAGTTCCTGCAACCGTTCCTCATATGTTTCAACCGCCAGTCCCCTAATCATCTTTGTTGCTCTTCTCTGCACTATTTCTAGAGTCTCCACATTTTTTTTACATTGTGGCAATGTAAAATATAGTGAAGCACTGAAAAAGTAACTTATGACTGGTCCTTGCAGCATTCCCACGGTCACATGATCAGAATTAGGGCGTTTCGTGACTGGTCTTTGTGGCATTCCCATGGTCACGTGATCAGAATTAGGGCAGCAACATGTATTTACAATGGTTGAAGTGTCCCAGAGGTGCTGTGATTGCCGTTTGCAATCTCCCAAATGGCTTCCCACAAACAAAGTCAATGGAAGAAGCCAGATGCACTTAATGACCATGTGAGTCTCTTAACAACTGCAATGATTTGCTTAACAACTATAATAAAAAAGATGGTAAAATATGACTCATTTTACAACCACCTATCTTAGAAATAGAAATTGTGGTCTGAAATTGGGGACTACCTGTATGGAGCCATGATGGTGCAGTGGTTAGATGCGGTATTGCAGGCTACTTCTGCCTGCCTGCTGGCTGCCAGCAATTTGGCAGTTCAAATCTCCCCAGGCTCAAGGTTGACTCAGCCTTCCCTCCTTCTGAGGTGGGTAAAATGAGGACCCAGATTGTTGTGGGCAAAATGTTGACTCTGTAAACGACTTAGAGAGGGCTGCAAAGCACTGTGAAGTGGCATATAAGTCTAAGTGCTATTGCTACTATTTGGTTTACATTTAATACAAACCATTATTGTTTTGCTAATTACCTTTCAATCCTGAGGAAGAAGGAATTATGCATAGCATTTGCATTGGTAAAGTGGCTACTCAGGTGGTATTTAACCATAATTAAAGATAAGAGGGAATTTCTTCTGGAAGAGAATGCTATTAAAAAAAATCCAGTAAACCCAACCGGACAATGTGTATCACAAACGAAGAATCTGGAATGAAGTTTAATCCATTTCCAGGAGATGCAAATCTCTTCCTATAGAATATTTTGTACTTCTGTTGATTGATTTTTATTTATTTTTGTGGAAAGAAGTGCCCCAAAGCATTAGGCATATTTTTGATTATTCTGTGTGGGTTTTTTTCAAAGCAAGAAACTTGAGACTAATCGACTTAAATGTGTCATTTGATTTATTGTCCTTTCCGAATCAACCACAAGTAACATCCTTCTAGGCTGGAGATGTATTAATTTCCTACTCACGAATCCAGTGTCCACCGAATCCTCAAAGTGATCCAATTTGCCTCTGACTTTGATTTTTTTTTTTATTGCTCTGTTCTTTGGCAAAGTTAAAAAACAGAACTGGGAAAATAATCCGTTACTTTAGCAGAAGAGACACTTGTGTGGTCAGGTTGCTGGAAAGAATCTTACTTTTCTGATCCACCAATTACTATTGCGTGGAAGTAACAAAAGGGATGAGAGCAGGAGTGAAAACCTCACGGTTCGGCACAGTTCGACTAAACCGTTAGGGACAATTGTCCCTGGTTCTGTTAATTAGTAGTAAAAAAAAAACTTCTGAGGATCACCCGCGTGATCGTGGGAAGTTTTCCCTCCTGCTTTTTAAAGCATTTTTTTCCTGCCGGTTTGGGCGAATAGGCAGGAAAAAATGCTTTAAAAAGTGAAAAAAAAAGAGAGCTTTTGATGATCCCGTGGATCAACTGTGAGCCGCGTGATCGTTGGAAGCTTTTAAAAAACTTTTTAAAACATTTTTTTCCTGCCTATTCGCCCAAACCAGCAGGGAAAAAATGCTTTAAAAAGTGAAAAAAAGTTGGCTGCGCCCACCCAGTCACATGACCAGCCACACCCCAGCGACACCCACAGAATCAGTGGGCAAAAAAAAAAATAGATTTCACAACTGGATGAGAGCCCGTTTGGTGTAGGGGGTAAAGGCTAGAATTCGGGAGATTCTGAGTTCCAGTTCTGCTTTAGGTATAAAACCAGCCAGGTGACCCTGAGTCATTCTTCTACCTCAACCTAGGATAGAGGCAATGGCAATCCGCTTCTGAAAAGTCCCAAAGATTCCTTTGTGCGGTTTCTGAGAATCAGACATGATTGAAGAGAAAATACTGTATGTAGATAAACAGAAATCTTGGAAGGATTTTTATTTAAAGTCTTCCAAGAAAAGAATAGAAAAAGCTTCCCAGACTTTTCAAATTATTTGAAAATCTGATTCCTTCATTCCCACACATGGGAAGGTTCTGACCGGGGAATCTGTCAGGGATGATCCAGCCAGTTCCAGATCTGCCATCAACTGCTGGAAAAAAGCAGGTGTTGCCATCTTCATATCTCTTTGTCCATCACTGATAAAGTCCCCTTTGATTTGAACCAGATTCCTGATAAATACTCGGACACATTGATTTGGCTTCCTTGCTAAGAATACAGAAGTGGTTTCCTATTTCTTTTTTCTAGATTCCCCCCCCCCCTCAATCCAATCCTTAGTAAGTGTTAGAGTGAAGTTATGATGGGTCTACCTTGAGGCCGTGGCACGACATAACCGCGAACGTCAAAAGCGCGCCGACAAAACCGCGGCGCTAAAACCACGATGTCAAAAGCGCGCCGACAACAGCGCGC